AGTTTCATTTGAACGAGGGTCCATAGAAACAATAGATCCACCAATGTCTCGTTGTCCCTGGGCACAAAGAATAACCTTTCCGTTATGGAATGTACCGCCGTTGGCAAGGAGGATAGGAGAAGATGGCTTTACAGTGGATACTTTTTTAGTTGAAAGATTAATCTTATTGATTTCCGTATATTGATCGGCTGTACTGGTATTACCAAGACGATTGGAAGTGAACAAAACTTCATTTCTTGCTGCTATATATACACCAGCTTCGTGAGCAAATTTGTAGTTTGCAGTAGCAAGTACTTCTAATTTTGGATTGATTTCAATAATTTTATGAAATTTGTCATCATAAGCAACAAAATTAGTTTCATTCAATTGTGTGAGAAACGAGGATGCCATAGTATTATTATCAACTTGTGTATATGAAAAAGGCTCAGTAATGGGACGAGAAAAATTTCCTCCCAAAACGGAGAGATAAGTGTATGATTTTAAAAATATATCGACAATTTTTACCATAGCTTTTACTCGAAGAAAACAAAAGACGATGGCGTGTATTATTCACTTATATACTTGTGAGGGCAGCTTTTCAATGAAGAATTCAATCAACATTTTATGTAGTCCGAATATTAATGCACAACATATGAGCCTAGGGAGAAAATCTAATGTACAACATGAGCCTAGCGCGAATGATCAAGGTTCTTACGTCTTTGGTTAAGAATTCTTTTATTGAAAATTTCCATACACTCCCGTATACAGTATATGATCCAACTTTTAAACAGAGTTTAAGTTGCTATTTGGAACAAATCCTTATCACACCTGTGTGGTCATTTGACCAATACTGTACAGATGGGTAACAGAAAATTAGAACGCCTATCAATTTTTTTATAATAAAATATAGTAAAAATTGAAATTTTCGTGCCATATAAAAGTTTATAATTTTTATAATAACAACCTTTTATTTTATATAATTATGTAAGGCATCAATTGTAATTCTCGAAAAGATGCTTTTTCTTTCTAAAAACTTTTCCTATAGGGATCGACCCTGTCACTAAAACCTGATTTTATGATTTTTTATGATTTTTATATATAATACTTAGGAAAAATTCTTAACTTTTTTTCTCAATTAGATCGGTTTCTGTAAAAAAATTTTAAAAAATAAAAAAAAATATATTTTCAAGATATGTAATTGATTAATTCAATGTTGGTGCGAAATAAAAAATCATTTATTAGAAAAAATGGTAACTTTCATATAGCACAGAAACTTCAATTTTTATTATGTTTACTATAAAAAATTGATAGACGTCCTAATTTTCTGTCACCCGCCTGTACCTGTGCAGATTATTTTCGAATGGAGGTTATCGTAATTCAAAAATTTTACAGCATCTAAATTCATTGAAAACCTGCACAGATGCTGCAAGAGTTCGCTATGACACACTGCATTAGGACGATTGAAAAATTTGATGTGCGTAAATTTCCAAATCACCATAATAAGGATTATGCAAGTACATATATCGTAATTTTTAATGCAAAACATCCCTTTTAATGGAGCCCCGACATAAAGCGCCGTGATATATAAAAGGCCCAAATATTTTTTACCAAATTTGGCTAACATATTATATAACGCCTTAATTAATAAAACTAATTGTTTTATTGAATTTCTTGATAGTACTAGCATATACTGTAGATTTATGATATTTTTCTAGTGTTATCCGTGCCGGCGAGTCTGTCACCAAGACGACGGGTAAGTGGGTCTTTATTGCTTGCAACACCAAAGGTACTTCTGTATGTGATAATAAGGTTAACTTCCCATCTCTCTTATTAGTCTTCATACTTAACCCTTCACCAAAAGGCTTTATGGTCTTCCTGGATTCTCTTGGAGCGACGAATATCAAATAAGGTAAGTTTATTAATTATTATCGTGGCAAAAGTATAGATGATCGTTTATTCTAAAAAAATTAATTAATTCTCTATTTTTTCATTTGGGGTGCATTGGCTATTTATACTATTCCGTCTCCCTAATATATCGTCGTGTCATGCAAACCCAACAAGCTTCTGGAGGCACTGAGCTCAACAATCATGCACCATACAGCACCACGCCATACCCTCATGCCGTTCCCCAGACCTATTGTCGCGGGTCAGGGGTCTATCAGCAGTAACGGCGAAATCCTAGACTTCGCGACACTTCGACAGGGGTATCTGTCATAACAGGGGGGCTTGAAGGCAGAAAGAGGCGTAGATTTGGCGAGTTTGTGTGATTTGGGGGGGATTTTATTGGTCAGAACAGTGCGATAAGTAGGTCGATTTTAACACTCTTTTATTGACTAATTTTTTTACTCCTCCTTTTTTCTACTACATTTTCTTACATCGTTTTTATACTTTTTCTTATGGCAAAAGAAAATAAAAGAAATAAAAGAAATAAAGAAATAACGAGGTTGAGGGTCGATTACCCGTTTTGGCAACCTCTATAATACGCGATCGTCGACACTATTACAAAATTTACTAGGGTATACCTTTTACAATATAATAGCGATTTAAGTATAATAACATACAAGATAATATTTGCTTCTTTATTTTTTCATAATTATACAGTGGTACCCATAATTTTTTGGAAAAATTAATTGTATTATTAATTAATAAACATCGATTTAAAAAATATAAAAAAATTAAATATTAATCTTTTAGTAGTCTCAATTAAAATATTTTTATATTAATTAGTAATATTATTTAAATATTGTATATGGGTAATTATTTTTCAAGGTGACAAAAATGCTAGATATGATTTTTTCAGACCCAGCTTTTAAACAATACATATATAATGTATATTTTAGGATCACACCAGAAAATTTCCAGCCACCTTCAAAAATAATTACCCACATACTGTATATATATTTAATGGCATTTCAAAAAAATATATTATTTTTATACTATTTTTTTATTCTTAACCAAGCTGCAAGCTAAGACTATTTATGAATCTTAGTAAGTAAAAATCCAATAATACAATATAAGTATTATATTATGGTTAAATAGAAATGTAATCAGTGAGTCTATTACTATGTCACAATTATCAATTGTATAACATTAAATAAAAACATTTGAATACAGTATAAGGTAAATTAAGAAATTAAATAATAAATTAAATATTTAATAAAAATATATATCTTTACTGTTGTCTTTTCAATACATTTTTCTCTCTTTTATATATTATCATAAGTTATATGTATTTTTACAGTAAAATCACAATAAGTTAGTCACTTTGATCTGTCTCACATCATATAATAATTGGAATAGTTTTTGTTCAAAAGAGATATATGAACTTGGTCAAAGTTCATAATGCTAATATAGATTTAACTGATTACTTTGTATGCAGCAGTTCTATTAGCTACATAATACTGGGATCAATTACAAGACAATAGTTTATAAAATAAAAATGATTTTTATTTAACAATTGTACAATATTTGTTCTAATTCTTTTTATTTTTTGACCATTCTTAGGTCATATATATATATTTTTACTTTATATCTATTATATCTATTATATTTAATATATTACTTATACTTGATATACTTATCCTTATAATTTCTTATTATCTACTCATTATTTTTTCTTATAACAATATAATAAAAACTTGTAAATCCTTAATACAATAAATACAATATTTGATATATAGTTAATTAAGTTACTATTAAAACATATAAATAATCAAGTTATAGTATAATATTTTTAAAAATTTTAGGAATTAAATCAACAGTAAAATAATTTATATCATATATACAGTATATTATAAACTAATTAGCAAGTCAATTATTAATCCATATTGCTTATTATTTTTTTGAATTAACAATAAAATAAATTTTTCATTTACTTTTAAAATATATTTTCAATTTAATTGACTTTATTTAATTTTTCAATTGACTAATTCAGAATCTTTCTATATTAATTTTCTTAAGTAAGCTTTAATTTCTTATTTAATTATATAATATAAAATACAAATATTTTAGATATACAAAAAAAACAAGATAAAAGTTTATTTATAACTTTATTTTATTGTTAAAATCTAATATATTCTTAATTAAACTCTTTACTTTATTACATATTATTATAGTTATGAAAATTGGAATTGATCAGATTTATATAAACCTATATAAAATTTAAAATATGTATTTTCCCAGTTATAAGCACCCCTTTTTAGGATTTATGTTAGATTTATTTTTGTGGGGTGCTTATAATCAAAAGAAATTATTTTTTAATAATTTGATCAATATCGATCTGATTTGGATAAAAAATATATTATTAAAAAGCCCTTATTAAGAGGAATCTAATAGTATAATTTTTATTAAAATCCAATTATTAAATACTGAGATATATTAATTTATATATTTTTTTTAAATAAAATTTTTTAAAATTTTTTTCAAAAATTATAAAAGTGCTTATAATCAGAAGAATATAATACTATTAAAAATAATAATGAATTATAATTTATATATTAAATTTAATATAAATCTAAGAATTAAAAATTGAATTAAATTGAATTATTAGAATTCTTATATATTATCAAATAATATATATATTATATTTATATCTATTATTTATACAGTATATATTTTATTTATTATTTCTATTTTTTAAAATTTCTTATTTTTAGATTTATTATTATTTTTTTTTATGTTAAGTGAGGTATTTCTCATAATCTTTATTAATAGAGTAAAGTTGTTACATGATTAATATTAAGATATAAGATACATTGCTATACATGTTAACCTATTACCATATTAGATATACTGTATTTCTATAAAAAAAAATTTGAGCAAGAAAAAAGAAAGGAACTATCTAATCTTGAAAGGCTAATGCCTTCTTAATAATTTATTTTATTTTGAAAAAACATGGAAGAATTTTGAAAGAATAGTTTAAGTATAACGTTAATTAGTTTGTTATGTTGGATATATTTGTCATTAATTGAATTAATTTTTGTGTTTTATTGGTTTTGATTGGTTTTTTTGAGTGTTTTGTTTTTGTTATTGTTATTTTTTTTGTGTTTTATGTTTTGTAATATGTCGAAGAGTTTCTCTTTTGCTATTATGTTCTTGTTTCTGGAAATCCAAATATAAAAATAAATAAGTTCAAACATTTTGTTTTGGATTAGATTGAGAGATTTCTGATCTTGTTGAATTGATTTGAAATTGTTAAAAAAGTTTTTGAATTAAAGTATTCCTGTCAAAAAATTGATTAAGTCAAGAGAATTGCTAATTATTTTTTGAATTAAGTTAGTGTTCAAATTTTTGTTGTTTTTGAGTTTTTTAATAATTAATGTTTAGGTGTCTGTTATTATTTTTTTGTTTCTAAGGAAATGTTGTAGCATAGGCATATATTGTTTGTATAGATCTGTGGCAGTGTGATATAT